CTAGGGAGGATTTTATTTAGGGTGATTTTAAAAATAATTTTAAATAGAGACACAGCTTCTAATATTCGGTTTTTTAATCTGGTTTTACAGGGGTTTGTATTTTTTATGCTTTGTATTTGTACTGTTTTTAATACGCTGTGCACCGCCCTGAGTCCTGCGGGAGAAGGGCGGTATATAAATTAAATTAATAAATAATAAAATAATAAAATAATAATAAATAATAAAATAAAATAAAACACATGTACTCAATCCTAGAAAAAGCCAGTAGCTCAGGGCTTAATATTTTCTATTGTTGGTTCTGGAAGGACACTGTACTGTGCCACTTAGCACTGGTGTGCAATTTGGGGGCCCTTTTGGAGCCTTTGCTCAATGAACGGTGACAACTGTAGCCCTGGAAGGCTTTTGTATAATTCCCTCTTGTGTGCCAACAATGTCTATTCCTGGATCGAAAGGCCTTGCCTTAATAATTTTCTGGTTGGACTACTGCAGACTTTTAACATCATATGGAAGTGTATTTGATACAAAATGCAGTGGTGCAAATATTTGTGGCTTTACCACAATGTCTCACATAACTATTTTATGAATGAGGCAATTCAAGGTATTGCTTGTCATCTACAAGACCTACATGGCACAAAACTTATTTTACTTAATATGTCTGGGTGACATATAATACAGCAACAATTTCACAATCAAAACCACAACACCCAAAATTAAAACAATACTGCCCACTTATTAAAAAAAACCCTTTAACAGAGCACACCTAACTTTTGACCCAATGCCTTGGGAAAAAAAAACAACAGGTTCCTGTCCACATGCCCTCATAAGATAGGCATGATCCAGGTCATTTCTTTGAGAACACCTTTTTTGTTGTAACATCTGCTCTTAGACTAATCCCACTCCCTCATATTGCATGGCCCAACTGAATTAGCCTTCAAAAAAGTTTTACAAACTGGGCTTTTCCTGCAGGTACTAGATCAGGATGATAGGTGAGCCTGTTTTCTGAGAAGGAGTATAAAACTGGTGAGCTATATGATTTTTGATGGGATGGCTGATTAACTTCTTTTTTACTAACATTGTACGGCTTTAATTTGCAATGTTGTTTTTGCATGTTTTATACAATACCTGAAATCACAACGGCATAATCTGGGCAAATGTATAAATATTCTACAGATTTAAATACAAACCACTCTACTATTTGTTTCAACAAAGGTCATCCACAAGTGCAATCAATTGTCTCCATATTATATTCCACCCCAAAACCTGACTCAAATGAGTTTAGATAATTTGTTTCTTCCAGAGCTCTCTGGAATTGTAGTCCTTGTCAACAACCGCATCCCAAAAGAGAAGACTGCAGACTTGATGAAAATTTTCCAAAATCACTGGACATCCTCTTTTAAGGATGATTTTACCACTACATGGCTCCAACTACACATCAACTTCTACACATCTTAATTAATGGATTTAATTAAACAAGTGGCCTGACTCACAGTCAGGAGAATCCTGTCTGCTTCCTCAAAAGTCACAAGATCATCCACCTTCTAGGAAATAGAAATTTTGCCAGACAAAATTTAACTTAGAGTGGATCCAAACACCTATATGTGCCAGATACCTAGCATATTCCTCAAATAGACCTGTAATATTTTTGTGACTAATCAGCAGGGAATGGAGCATTTTGAATGATGATGCAGTAGGACAAAAAAATAACATTATTTTCTAGCATGCATTATTTATTTTTTATTTCATTTTTAAAATTTATTAGCCGCCTATTTTACCACATGGTGATTTACTAATGCATGTGTATGGATTCTTTCTTGGCAATTTACTTGGAAATTTGCTCCAATTGTATTTTGTATCTCCTTTAAGCTCAAGAATAGCTCAAAGCTCAATGAGTCTTAAGAGGACTGCTATTGTATTCAATACTGCAGGCTTGCAGCATTGGTGCAAATAAGATAACATTTTTTCACTGATATTATTTAGTGGCACAAAGGGTATTTCAGCATAAAATCTGAAAAACAAAAGAATCTTATAAATCTGAAATTATTCTTTCATTGTTTTTAGCCAGTGTGGTTTCTGTCATCTTAAATGAGTTATGAGGTATTTCCATACTGTCTATTTCTATACCATTTGTCTGTGTCCATAGTGTATGTCCATACTGTCACAATATTTCCATACTAAGAACTAATTTAAATGAAAATGAATTTAATAACTATTAAATTAAACAATAATGATATTGCTCAAATACATTTTTGTTTAAGTAATGGACTGTACTGTTTTATCCAGCTTTGTTCTGAAAGTACACAATAGAACAAAAAAACTTTGAAAAGTTCTTGTCTTGTGGGTTTTGTGTATTTTCAGGTCATTTTTTCTGTTTTCACAGTGTTTAAGTATCTATTTTTACTAAAACAAAAAAAGTCCACTGCATGTGATTCCCACATATGAAAAACAATGCTATAATAATTCTGTTCTAGCAGCATGGGGACAGAGTGGGGAGGAAAACCCTTGTTAATAACTCAAGTGCCCATTTATTTCCTATGGATACAACTAGATAGTACATTCCCCAAACCCATGATTTACAGAATCTAATTAGGCACCTCTTTGGAACATAAAAATGTATCCACTGCAAAGGGGCAAAATCACCCCAGCCTCCTGATTTATAAGTGATAAATCTCCGTATACTCACAGATGTAGAAATATTCCCGTCCTGGCCTGAATTCAAATCCTAATGAGAAGGGAGTGAAGAGTTGGAATTTTTCTGAGAACTTCAATGGTCCATTGGGAGAATGAGGCCGGTTGCACTCCCATCTCTTGAATCCTTTGGAGGTATGATCACAGGAGCTGTAGCCATCAAAGTTCACCATGTAAAGTATATACCGTTCAGTCTTATCTTCTGGCACCGAATCCTCATAATGAGGACAGAATACATCCAAATAGTCATTGATGCAGACATCAATATGATAATCTCCTCGCTGGAATCTAAAAATAAAATCAAGACAAAACCAACTCAGATAATTTTTCTAAAATATATATTACACCTTAACCATATTAAACTTTTTTTCCCTGCAGAGACAACTTAAGTTATAATTTGATCAGTTGTTTTAAATTAACTGTCCTTTAAAAAAAGGGCTTTATCCAATCAGATCCTTCACCCTTATACAGTTGCTTCTAAATCCGTACAATAGTTTATTTCCCCAATCTGTTTACTTCAGAAGTTAATCTTTGGTTCTATAAGGTTTTGTTTTAATTACATGGATTAGGGTTGGAATATATGTAAAGTATATTTCGAGTAAAGTATATGCCTACAAATGGGGATGTATTTTTTTGTATCACAACCAAAGCTAATTGCAAGAAGATGCATTTGCTACAACACTCACTCATCTTGACTTTTTCCTTACAGCTGGCAAGAGTTAAGATCCAAGAAAACTCTAGTATGCCTTTGAAATATTTTTGAAAAAGCAATATAATTTCATTGCCAAGTACAGAGGAGAGATACTGCTGTTCAGATAAAAGAGTTCCAGGCTATGAATTATCAGCACTCACCTGACAGTTTGGAATGAGAGCCAGATGAGAAAGGTAGTACAAGGCACTTTTACCAGCGCACTTTTGTTATCAGCAGCAATATTAGTTGCAACAATTGTAAGGCTGGTTTTACTGTCATTATAACTGTGCTGGGTAAAGCTAAAACAATTCATTTCAAACTCTTAGTGGTATGGTATACTGCAGGTTGAATTTGTAAATGGATCAAGAAATTCTTTTAACATACAAATGGCACTTGAATCTAACTTGGTAATATGGTAATTACTTGCATATAAACATGGGGAGTCATTCAAAATTAAGGTGACATATTCTTGGAATATTTATCAAATTTATCAAACACATCTAAAAACTAGACTAGACGCACTGGAATGCACTAATCAAATGTAAACACAATTAGCCAAGAGATTATGATTGTGCCACAGAGTCCATATTTTACCTAGAATACAGAAACTATTTTGTTTTCTATAATAATGAGTATATAAGAGGCATACTATGGTATTCTATTTTTCTGAAAGGCAGATTATTTGAAAGTCATATATTGCACATACCATGGACGGCATATAAATAGAGAAAATATAGATATAATTTATTTATTTTTTGCAGACACAATCCTTCTCACTCTCTATATACTGGTCACCACTGCCATATCATTATCTGTGGCTTCTATTCCTTGACAGCAGGCTATCTGTCAAGTGCACAGAGAGTAATAAAGACAATGTGACATATTTAACTATAATGATCCTTGTCACCTGAGGCACATATTTTAAGTACCTAATGGATCTGAAATCTGCCAACTGGATCCTTCTATTTAATTTGAGAAGAAAAGCAATAATAATAATACAGCCTTCTCCAAGGATATATTCAGAGAAACCTATTCAACCTTTATCATTATTTTGCGTTTGAAAAAACAGGTTTTTAACAAAAATTGCTTGAGGTACAGAAAAAAAGTCGAGATAAACTCTAATTCTGTCGAGGTACACTAATATATGGATTTATTTTGTCTTAAATATTAATGCAAATTAGACATAAGAGTTTTTCATCACTGTAACTCCCAGTATCACTTCTCTCTCTCTCTTTCAAAAAAAAAAAAAGTAGCTGAGATAATCTTTCTGCCCTACTTTATGGTTGTGTATAAACTAAACTAAACTATTTGGAAAAGATTTTTCTAAAAGATTGTGTTTAAGCAAAAAGGGAAGGTTTAACCATTTTTTATTAATTCCCTTTCTTTAATATTGCCATTTGTTTTTGTGAGTCCTCAATCTACGACCACAATTGGGATGACAGCTTTCATTGCTAAGTGATGCAGTAGTTAATGAGCCATCATGTGACTGCATCTAATTTTAGAAAACTTTTTGCCATGGGCATTACGTGAATCCAGCTTCCTGCATTGACTTTGCTTGTTGGAAGCCAGCTGAGAAGATCACAAATTGCAATTACACAACTCCAGGGCATGGCAACCATCATAAGTACACACTAGTTGGTAAGCAACCAAATTGCAGGAGATGTTCCAACAGTTGTATGTGCGAAGACCAGTTGTAAGTCACTTTTTACAGGTCTGTTGCAACTCTGAATGGTCACTAAATGAATGGTTGTCAATAAATGAATGGTTGTAAGTTAAGAACTATGGGCAATTCTGTACTTACAACCATTCATTTAATGGCACTGAAAAAAGTGACTTATGACTATTTTTCACACTTACAACCGTAGCAGCATCCCCATGGTCACGTGATCAAAATTTGCATGCTTGGCAGCCAGTTCATATTTATGATGGTTGCAGTGTCCAGAGTCATGTGATCACCTTTTGCAACCTTCTGACAAGCAAAGGCAATGGGGAAGCCAGATTCACTTAACAACCATGTTACTAACTGCAGTGATTCACTTAACAACTGTAGCAAGGAAGGTCATAAAATGGAGCAAAACCCACTTAACAACTGTTATGCTTAACAGCAGAAATTTTGGGCTCAATTGTGGTCATAGGTACCTGTATGCTGTTCTGTTCCCAGTGGTTCTATTTTACAAATTAGACAAAATAGCCTCTCTTTTTTTTTAAGGATATAGTAAATGCTTAACTCTTGTTCTTTGCCCTCATCTCATCTGGGGACACTCACACAAAGACAGGCAGGTGCTCTTTTATAAAATTCCCATCTCTCATACCATAACCTGTTTTGATCTTTAAGCAATAGGCCTCAACACAGCTCTCCAATAACTCTATAAAAGTGTTACATGAAATAAATTGCTTTGATGAACATTCTATTATTCTCAACTTCATACAGCAAAGCATCTCAGACTACTTTACAATAAAAACAGCTAAAAATATAACACCATAATAAATAATAGTCAACAAAAAATAAACCATATTCATTAAAAAGTAATGGTTGAAAAATATTTAACATTCGTATTAGGGATGCCTGGATAAAAAAGTATATTTTCAGTGAGCTTCTTAAAGCTATTATAGCAGGTCCTCCTGCATTTATGAGCACAAGCACCACCATGTCACAAGCATCTGCCAGATGGAAGAAGGCAACTCTTGGCACATGTGGTAGTATCTCTCCCTCATTCCCCTTCCACTTTTACCACAGACTTATCTCTGTCACTGACCACATTTATAACAGTTCTTCTGATTTCCCACTTGCTTAGCATCTTGTACATCATAACCAAACACCAGAACCTTGCTTGGTAACTAAATGGAAGCCAACATAGTTCAGCAATCCAGCTGCTGCATTCTGCACCAGCTGAACTTGGACTGCTAATGTGGTCCTACACAGAATGTATTAGTAGCTAGGTTGTCCCTTTATTCCAAGGATATAACTGGAATACAAAGTGAAGGTTGATGCTCCTAGGTATGAAAGTCATGGTGTAGTGACAGTGATGACATTATTCCACCTCCTCCAAATTAGGTATCTGTTATTTCTTAGAGCAACATCTTGTAAAAATCTCAATGACTGAATGCATGAACTCTCACCTCCACTACTCCAGATTACCCTATCAGGATTCAGTATCACTTTATTAATTCTCAAAACTCCATCGCTGCATCCAGATACTGGTTCAGGATACTCACACGCTAGTGACACCAATTTTTAAACTGTAACACTGGGTACAAGAGTACTGTATGGCAGGCATAGGTTTATACCATAAAAATGTGAACTGCTATATAGACATGTGTATACTAAATTACTAATATATTTGAAAACATTACTAAAGAACTGTGCAAGTAAATTAAAAATAAAACAATCTGCATTACCTCTTCCAAACTAGTATGTATGCAAAATCAGTATTATGTGCCTTTTTCATGACTGTATAGTACTTCTGATGTAAAGGCAAATCAGGACTTGACTCTAATTATATTGGCTGTATATCGAAGAGGGGATTTATTTAACTATTCAGAACGTTGTAACATTTTGTGTGTATTAATCCCTTTCATATTATTTTCTTTAAAAAAAGAAATGCCACGAAATTGTGGCATTCAAAAAAGTGTAACAAGACAGTAAGTATCCATTATCACATAGCTGGGGGGAAATTACTATAGCTACTGCTTCGAGCTTTTCCATACAAATAAAATATATCTGAATCATATTTTGCATTTTAAAATTCAACGCTTAGAATTTCTAATTGATCGGAGCATCACCCTATTTTCCGCTTTCATAGCAGATTTTCTCCTTCTGCAGATAATCTGCATTATAGACAAGAACCTAATTTAACTCATTGGTACATATTCAAACCACCGCAATGAGCTCATGTTCACTATCTGTAAGAACAAAATAGGGGGAAAATAACAGTCAAAGATAGATTTGAAAGTTCCCTAGATATATAACAAACAGTGTTTTAGTCCCACATAGAACAACTTATTTAGGATGACAGAAGATTTAATAACTAAAATGCTACACTGCAGATGCAAAACAACTGTATTTTTATTTATTAGACATTTACACACAGGTCTGTGCATTGGATAAAATTGTAAAATTACAAGATGATGAAAAACAGTGGTGTCCAGAGTATGGAAGAAGTTAATTGCAATAGCAGCTTTGCATGATATCCTGGTATCATTTCTAATGTGACCAAATTGTTAAAAAAGTGAAATATTATTATTCCTAAATTATAATTTTCTTAGAACCACTAGTACTGTGATGCAAAAACCTGGATGATCACTAGAGAGCAGAAAAGATTCATTACTATATATTTTGTTGCCCTCTAGTGGTTGTCTGTATTTTTTCCAGCCTACAACTAAATAGCCCCTACTTTAATGTATAAATTAACATTTAACCACTTACTATACTTCTCATAAATAATTTCTAGTGATATGGTATAGTAGCTGCAGAGTTCAGGAATTCATATTATCCAAACTGAACTCTGGACTTAAATTCATCATTCTTCTGAATCATTAATTACTTTGCATTAATTAGATTTTTCCCGCTCAATATTCTTTCTTATGTAATTACCAGATACTATTGAAATATAAAATTATTTACAGTCATTGCAAAAATAGTGCTTGGTTCCATCTTCAAAAGTTAAATTATGCTAAATCATTATTCAGAAATAGCTATTAATTGTTTTATGCTTTTTCAAATTTGTATGCTCCTTTCCTCAGATTTATGTTTGAAAAGTGTAATTGTTCAGATTTATAGAACACTATAATACATAACTAGGCAAACTATTAACTTCAACTTTTCACAACCACACACTTCTAGGTGAACCTATTCATATAGAAGAGGGATGTCAAACTGTCGGCCTGCAGGCCGGTTTCATCATACTGAAGCCGCGCCCACCCCATTGCTGGCAATGCAAAAAGAGTCACAATACGTCGCGACACGTCACGCGACATGGCGAGTTTGACACCCATGATATAGAAGAAGAAAAATGTATTGTACAAGAGCTTAGCTTTACTTTAAGGATCTTGGAAATCAAGCAGGCTAAAGCAATTAATTTAAGATAGAAAGAGCCTGGATCTTTAGGTTTTCTTGTTTAAGTTTAACACTATGCAGAAAAGTACTTCTGCAAGTAAAGTAAAATGGCACATTGTGAAAATAATAATGATATAACAATCATGCTCAAACCTGGAAGGGAAAACATCTTCCTTTTGTCATTAAACCCTTGGTATTCAATTACTATTTATCTGGGTAATTAAACTTAGGGAAAGAATGTCAGGCTAATTGCCAGA